ACTCTTCCCACGATCGCTACCAATAATCGTCTGCGACCGCTTATTCGGAGGGGGGGGGTGCGTAAACCCACCTCATTCACGGTTAGCCGAGAAATGACGGTTGCTTCGTTATCCGCGACCTGGGGAAGCTTTAGGTGGCTCTGCTCTCCGGATGTCCCCAGCGGGGAAGCCGGCCGTGACTTACATATCCAAATCTCCTGAACACGGTTTTCATACCCTAATGCCAAATCCTATTTTGACCGAGCTTGATTTCGTTCCACACATTACTTGACTAGGATAGTATTGCACACCGCGGTAATCTATTGCGTGACATAAGCAGCACGTGCCCCAGCCACTCATGGAGGTCGAGATTTGCTCCAATGGACGACCACCACCTTTGCACCTAATCTCAGTATTACTTTTTTTGTTCCAACACCGGATTCGTGTGATGCGGCATAAGCAGTGGTGGGTGAACACTAACAGTCTATCCTTACACTATTCCATGAGGTCCAAGTTTCTGCACTATGTAGCAGCGACCACCCAACTGGTGCAGCATTTACCCGACCCACCACACAGCTGGAAGTTGTAACGGCACCAAAGACGTTTTCAGTTGGCAAGTGCCAACCGATCCTTCTGTAGACGGCTCGACACTTTGTTCGTGATGCGTCCACCAGGTGGAGAATGCTTACTTTTTTCATTTCTTCGTCAGTTAACGGGAGGCTGAGAACTGAACTAACCCACTTTTGCAAAAACATTAAATATTTTAAAGGTGCAAAACGCATGCCGAACCCTCGAGAATTGCTTGCAACCTGCTTGGACGATAAGACTTATCGATAAAGCTTTCGGTATGTCATATTCTGTGATCTGCAGCAAAATCGGTGCACCTTACGACCCAGTTGTTTCGCTAGCCGCACCCCAAAGAAAACTAATTGAAGACACAGACCATCCGCATCCAACTGTACTAACTCACGTCTTTAGCTGGCCATCGACGAGACATTTCCGATGCAGGCAACGAGACTGGGAGTAAGCTTTTTCTTGTGTGCTCTATTGATGGTCTGCGAGAAACATAACCAAACTGATGACGACGATGTAGTTGAAGAAATCAAGTTCATTCATCTATATCTATACAACGGCCGTATTATTAAATGTTAGCCATATATTGGAGGCGGCAGTGGTCGAAGCTTTCCAGTTATTTTTCGTATCATGGTGAATTGTTCGTTGAAGAACTTGTCCTTTTGTGTGAAGGTCCATTTTGCTGTGAGATCACAATGGTTCGCGAAGTTGTCCGTATACCACCAACACAAAGTTTGGCTGGATGTTAAATCCTATATACTTATTTTAGTGTTTCACACGGACAAGGATAAGTGAAACCGTGGTAAACAAAGTGATGTGTTCTAGACAGCCTTGTGAACAACGGTATTGATCGCTGTTGTTTTGCATAGCTTTGGTAGTATAACTTGACGTACAGTTGTTTCTCTACACTAAGAATGTAGAATGTCAGAATAAACTTCTAAAGTGACAATATCCTTGGTACATTCGAGTTCAGTGTTCTAAGCCTCGGGACAGCGTTGGATTTCTCTCTACAACCGGCAAAAGTGGGATTCGTTCACAAGTCCATGGCGCAGTTCAACAAGATTGGTTCGGTTCATTTGCCCATATTTATATTTGTTTAATGAGCTAGGGCATATGTTATTCACAGTTGATCACATAACCGCAGGTTGACCTATCCGCGATTGGGGTACACGCTCCGTAGCATGCAGCTCTACTCGAAGATATCAATAATAATAGGGCTATTAAAAAAAACAGAGTGATGAACACGCTTGTGTTCAGTGACTAGTTTTCATGCCACTACATCACAGTATGCATCAATACTTGGAAATAAAATTGTTTTGGGAAAAGAAAAAAAACAAACTCAAATCACATCACAGATTCCTAGAAAAACGATTTCATTAGGAGACCGGAAATCGGATTCACCAGGAGCATATGGTTGTTTGTCCACTCATCCGATCAGCGAGATTACTCGTGATACGGTGTGAGGGGTGAAACAGGGAAGCTTTCGCGTTTGTACCAATTATTTTGGGGGCACACAGAGGGAGGTCGTATAGACGAATGTCCAACGCTTCCCCAGAATCTGATAATAAACCTGCCTCGATAATCGCCCACGAACTTTATACACGGGGGCGAAAAGCCACGGCTACGTTCACAGTGTAATATGTTTCAGCTAGCTGTGAAACCACTGCACCGGGGAGTGACACTGAACTTTATACTTCAATCGTAAACACATAATTGGCATGTAGGTGTGTGTAAGCATTGATACATAGAAAGTCTTAACAATTACGTCCAATCACCTTCTTTACATGATCTAACCCTTGGACGGCAAAGATATGGACACAGATTTTTTCCTAATCTCGGTGTTTTGTAAAGATTTCTCCGTGGACTGAATCATTTTGTTGACTAAAAGGGTCGGATACCCGTTACAGGCAAAGACCGATTGCGTCGCATGGAGCTCTTCTTCTAGCGTATCTTCACTGCAGATCTTTATTCTCTGTCTGTTAGGCAACGAACCAGGTTCCTTTTTATCCCAAGCGGCATAAAGCTTCAGAAATTGAGGTATTAGTCTTTCAAAGTTGAGTTTCTATGCATGGAAATGTGCTCTGATAGACTATTTCGACAATACTGCCGAATATTCATCTTTCAGGGTGCATAAAGCAAATACAATCGATCTCCAGCTNCAGCTATGTCGCACCCGTGAGATGTCGCGTTTTCCAATATCTTCCCTCTTTTTTCAAAAAAAGAACAACCACATGCGTAATAATGCAGTTTCTGACTATGCGATGTCGTACCCCTCAATAAATCGCAGTTCCTGATACCTACTCACTTGGTTGTTGACCGATGTTCAGGACGACCATGGACCATCCACCCTGAAATGTCGCACTCAGCCAATGGCGTTTCACCTAGTGTGTCGCGTTCATGGCACTGTACACTGAATGGATGATCCTTGTGAGGAAGACACATCGATGCAAGTGATCGGAGAAAGTGTCATTTGACGTCAAATGTGCCAGCACCTATCGATCAGAGAGAAGCAGAATGTGTTGGAAATGCTTAATCAGCCAGGTGCCACCCAGAGCTCTGTAGCCAAATCACTTGGAATTTCACGAAAAGCTGTCTACAATGTTATGCCCCATTGAACGACTATCGGGGAATTTTTGAACGCTGGAGCATCTGAGGAAAGATGCCACCTGAAAAGCCAAAGAAAAGTTGAAGACAGTGAATGAGGTAACTTTGGCTTGGTTTACTGCTCTAAGGGGAAAGCATGGAGAGTTCCCAATGGTGGAGAACATCGCACGTAATAAGGCAATCCAGCTAGCACAAAGACTGCATCACAATGACTTCAAGATTTCCAAAGGTTGATTTCGCTCTTGGTCAAACAGATATGGTATTCAATTGTAGAAAGTAAGAAACAAGCAACTAATGTGCATTACTTTATCGGTTTGTGGGAAAAGTTTAGCGGTATCACCTGATGCAGTGGGAGACTTTCGAGCGGGGTTACATGGATATGCTGACTGTGATATTTTCAATGCGACCGAAACAGGCAGGTCCCAGAAAGAACATTAAGTTCGTCTTTTTGAAGAAGAAATCGCCTGTTTGGAATTTGATGATGAAGAAGCGGGTTATACAAAAATTTTGTGCCGAGTTTCTTTTTTAGTCATTGGATGAATTGGTTTGGAATCAAACGAAGCATCGCAAAGAAGAAAATGAATGTGAAGCAGTTAATGCGCCGGAATTTATCTCAGTCAGAGAGGCGCAGAAGTTATTAGATCAACTGAAACTGTTTGCCTTGGCTAATGCTCGGAGTTTGGGTCGATTATTGGAGTGTACAATTGATTTAAACAGAGCGTTTGTTGATGTTCAAAGAAGAACCAAGCTGAGACAAAAGACGAATTGTTTTTGCTAAAAATACATCTTTGTAATCTGCAAAGTTTCTTTGCAACATTGTGGGGCACTCGAATTCGATCATTTTTGTTGCGGTGGTCACCAAAGCCACGGACATTCGGTCCAACGATGGGTTCTGTCGCCCTAACGTGTAAACGGGTGAAGGTTAATCGTAGGTGGGTGTGTGGAGTGAGATGTCAGATCCGAGTGATCGATAACCATCGTCGCGCGGATGCGCCTGTGTGAATGAACGATACTCTCACCTGTCCTAGAGCATCGATGAAATTGGACAGGTCACTGGATCAAGGTCATCGTAACCCGGGTTTAAGGACAATTTGTGAGATGCACTTCTAGTTTATGAATCACATTATAGCATCACGAGTTGAATTCAGTCCGACCAACAACGGTCATGACGAATGTCTCAATCGGTTTGAACATACACCGGTAACAACAAAAGCGAACGAACGAACAGATGTCTACAGACGCTAATGGTACACATTTTTCAGCAGGAAATCATGAATTCACAGCGAACAACCCGTTTGAATATGGGAAAGAAGTCAATGTTCTGAGTATACCCCGCAATAGATATTTTACTCATTTTAGATGATGTGATTTCTCTCGAATGCGATGTTTTGTCTCACTGTGTTCTAACTGGTTCACCTTCGTTCTCCTTGAATGGGTTAATAGTAATGTGATTACTATAAGTAAAACAGTTGTATGTTATGGTGGACGTCATATAATCAATTCTGTGGTTAGCCTAACATTGTAACGGATTATAACGGGCGGTGGTGGCCCGGTGGTAACGTCACCATATTATCTACCCCGGGGATGCGTGTTAGAATCCCACCACCGCCGCCTGAATTTCCCCATTTTGTGTGTTGAATGGCAGCCCTTTGATTGGCCGCTTCCCCCTTCCCGAAAATTGTATCTTTGTTTATTCCATAAAAAGGAAGTAAAATGAAAAAAGGAATGTAGGTACGGCAAAGCAGGAGATTGATTGTACTTGACTTGACTACTACCGTAACAAGGGTGATTCTCAAGGTCAAAGTGTTCATAATCAAAAGGAACGGAGAGAAGTACACACTTACATCTTGCAGGGATTGGACTAGTAAGAGGGGCAGTGACAACGTGGTGATATCGTAGTCGAAGCACGTGCGCAAAATAGCAGACAACGCACAATGCAACGGGGCACCGGAACGAATTCGATCTTCTTCTCGATCTGTGACACTATCTGCAACCAGATGGAACACGACACCGATTCCACCCCCGCCTCCAGCCAGACCACCAATCACACCCCCGGTGAGATTCGAATGACGTGTGATGTACACANCACATCCCCGGACACCGGTTCAATCTGATCCGGATTTAGGCCTGTGTGGATTTCCGAGTAGGTTAGCGAAAATGAAAGTTAATAACTATCTAAGTCAGTGCAAATTTAACGATATACGAAAATAATCATTGGGCATTCTCGAACCATTGACAGTTCATTTGGGGAGTTGGCTAAAAACACTGATTCTGAACCAACTGAGAGGTGGACGAAACACATGCCTTCCTGGTTGTGGCAGTGGTTACCAGGCTCAATTGTGTATTGCGGTGTATATATAGGATACCTTGGTCGTTTAGCTCTGTTCAAAGGCATGATCTTACGAAATGGACACCGGCCCCTAAGAGCTTGCGGTTTTCACACACCGCCCCGCTGCCTTGTGGATTAGGCTTTGGTTAGCCGAAGGCATTGGCTGTGAACTTCCCAAGAAGATTCACCGGCCTTAGCTTAGGAAACCTGGCAATGCCGCGCCCACGAGCACATATATGCAGGTGTTGACCAAACTCGTGCAACATCACCCTCATTTTGACAATCCATTTCAGCTTGCAATATCATACTTATATATAGATAGCTATGAGTAAAGCGTATTATTTCCTAACTTTATCTCCAACATNCAACATCTATGTTCTTAGATCTTTTCTGTCACCGTTTGAATTTGCGCGAACTTGAGTATCGAGATAAAAAATTCGTAGTAGTTCGAAAGTTACAGCTCCGATTTGGAAAATATTTTAGGCAAAGCAGCATGGGAGTTCATTCATTTTAAAAGATGATTAATGTAACATGAGTGTGTATCAAGTTGAGCACACGTATTCTGAATTTCTAATCTCTTCATTCAGTGCACAGTAAATGAGCAAATTAACTAAAATATTCTAGCTCAAATAAATTGATAGATTATTTGGCTACAAACTACTCATGCATTATCTGGAATACTGGAAGAACTGAAAACATCGTCCAAGAACCACATAAGTTGATCTTTGAAAGTTGACCTTGAGGTGTGCGGCTCGTTGAATAAGCGCCATGTAGTGTCACCATGCCCAAAACGGATGAAACTTTCTAAAGGTTTTGGCACATAATTGAAGCCGAAAGGCAACTTAAACGAGAGGCGCGTGAATCCGATGGCTCAGTTGGTGTCTTGTGGAAGCGCTTCAATTTGAGCGTAAGTTCATTTTGTTGCATATTCAACGAAATTTCTCCATCAAGACATAAACCGAGAGGGAGAAGACCGGCCATAACAAAGTAGGATGATAGTTTTATTTGATCGCAGCAGAAAAAAGTTGCACAGAACCAATCTGGATGATAGTCCGGGCTGATTAACCATTTTCCCCCAGGCTTTCGTTTGGAAAATGATGGCTCCATTTGAAATGCAGCTGATGCCTCGTGATATAAAGCCGGTATTGAACACCAAACAAAGCATAGAGCGTATTGATTTTACCAACACATTCAAATCGCTTCGCCTGTCCATTTGGCGATTGGTTTATCTCACTTGTGGCCAATGAGTAATCTAGCATATTATGAAAGCTGGTCTACTGAGCTAGTTTTCGAATGAATTTCTGTCAAAGGAAATAAATATCTATCCCGCCTAACGAGTTGGAAGGGAAGGGTTTATTGAGCGCATTGTTGTTGGTCTTATGCATACGTCAATATGGAAGTAGCGAAATTTCTTGCACTGATAAGGGAGGATTTTGATAACTGTCACTCCCAAAATGCATTCCAGGAAATCACATTTTTCACATATGGAGGTTGGTATATCAGCGCGCTTGAGGTTGGTGATAGAAAACGGTTAGACCAAATAAATATTTTCTTCGCATTTATGCAGTTTTCAGAGGGGTTCAGTTCAATGTCAAATTCGTTCTAATACCGTGTAGCAGCTGGGATTTTAATTTAATCGAAAACTTTCTTCTCTATCAGAAACAGGGATAAGTTAGCTACCTTGCCATTGGTCGCCAGTGGTAAGGGTGTGCGGTGTATTAGAGGAAACTTGCAAATTCTGTTTGACAGTCAACTTGATGGATTCCATGCTAAAGCGACTGCCTCCACTGGTCAAAAATGAAGAAATGGAACATGGTCGAGATGAAGGTACAATACCTGCACAAAGTCTCCGAGTCATTTTAATAAATAAAGTACAGTTACGTTTTCTATTCTAACGTTGCTATTTTACAACTAATACAGTAGCAAGTGTCATCAAAATCGTACATTTTAGTGGAATCCGGCTAATAGAAGCAGTGAC